CATGTTGGCATTTGTGTTGACAAGAGTGCTCCTCAAGTCGAGGATCCTTGTAAGGCTTTTTTTGTTTTAGTCTCCTTTGACATACTATTCGCTTATCTAGGTGCCTCTTATCCTTTTTACGATGTGATCATATCAGTACTTAATTGTCATTTTCTTGTTGATAGTGAACGCACTTAAGTGATTCGAAAAGAAGACGACCGAGTCAGCCGCTAAATCCGCCGCTCATCCTGCTCCTCTTCAGAGGCCTGAGGAAGGTTCGGGGTCTAGCGCTCATGCTGCGGCTGTAATATCCCGAGATATTATCAGTATAAATTACGTTTAATTCCGAAATAGTAATGTTATCGTTTATTATTTTCGGAATTAATTAAGTTCAGTCGGAATTACCGAAATCTAGTTTCGACGTACCGTTTACGTTCGAAATAATTTTGGTAATTAAGAATTATGTTTAATTAAATAAGTAAACATAAAAAGGTAATTAATTAGCATTAGTCCTTAAGTTAAACCCTAAAACCGTATTAAATCCTATTAAGAAAAGCCAATGCCGTAAGTGTGGTATTATATGTATTTAAGTTCAAAGAGTAGCAATTTTCCCTAAGTTGAAGGAGGCTTCTCCCGTCCAAATGTTGTGCCATCACACGTGTTTAAGTAAGAGTAAAAGGGAGCTGATTACTCACCCTTAAGTTAGCTAATTGTCTTACAAGTGTGAGATTAAGGAGGTGACCACGTTTTGGGTACGTCACCATTAGCCCATCGTCTATGGTATAAATAGGACCATTTGGTCCGAATTTTCCTCACCTTTTTCCTATAAGATACAATCCACACCTTCAGCATATAGTAGTCTTCTTCGCAGCAAATAAGTTCAAGCCAATCTCCCAATAATTTTCACTCCAAACGCACGGCAACCGCACGGCGAGCGCAAGGCCTTAAGCACACTTTGTTTCGATTTCCCGTCGAGCGATTGAAGAGGTACTGCTCTCCTAAGTCCCTATTCTTGATGATTAAGTCAATTTAGAGTTAAGTGTTCGGTTAATTGTCGGAATCTTAGATTAAAAGTGTACCTAAGTCCATGTATGCATAAGTAAACTGATCACCGAACAAGTTTCGTTTCCGACCGACAACTCTCGAACAAAAATTCTTTAA